TTCAAATAACAGCATAAATGTTCTTGACACCCTAAATGTCTTTACCTGTCATAGATCATGGAGGTCACATCTCAACCTGCTGCATTTGAACCCCGAGACTTTCACTCGGGCTTGATGAGCTGCTGTGACGACATGGGTGTATGTAAGTGATTCCAAGAGCACATAACATAACATATTGTAAGTAAATCTATACTGCTGATTGGATTTATTTTTAAATCAACCATATCATTTTTTTAGGTTGTTGTGGCCTCTTCTGTCTTCCTTGTTTGGGCTGTTCCATTGCCAGTGAGATGAATGAGTGCTGCTTATGTGGTTTAGGCATGCCGATCCGAAGTGTATACAGAACTAAATACAACATACCTGTCAGTATCTATCTATCTATCTATCTATCTATCTATATAGATAGGGCCTATTATTTACAGTTTTGTTTAATTTGCATCTCCAGGGATCCATGTGTAATGACTGGATGGTTGCATACTGCTGCTTAGGTTGTGCAGCCTGCCAAATGAAGAGAGACCTCAAAATAAGGAAGAGTAATGGAACACTGAAAGCATGAGAAGTGAAAAAGGAGCATCTGTGTGGTCTGTTGGTTGTGTTTTGAAACATAGGCGTATCTATGTAAGAGGAGCGTAACAGATGTAGGTAGAACTTCAATGCAATGCTACAGTAGCCAGATTTTGCTATTTGTAAGAAAGTGTTTATTTAATACAGTTGCAATTGCTGCAAAGTGTATTATTTGTAAAGTTACAGCTGTATTCATTTTCTTAATATCTACTTTAAACACAATTATACATTTTACAAGTACTGTGTAGTATTGCTATGATGCCATATGTCATGCCTGTACATGTACAAACAATTCCAGTTAACATTTTATTGTAACAACTATTCTTTTCTCAAACCCTTCCAATCTTATAAATAAAGAAACAAATATTTTTTTCTAAAATGAGATTTAATGATCATTCCATCATCCATGTTTCCCCATGTGAAGTTGGACAGCATCGATGAAAGCGTTCACAGTCCTGTATGGGGTTTTTGGAGCCAAACAGCTATCATATTAAATCACATTTTGTAAGGTTAAAATAGTTTCTCCTGTTCCAGTTTATGGCGCTGTTGTCTAAGTTATTCACTCTTGTTTATCTTTTTTGTTAATACAATTTATTTTATTACACTTGTGTGTTCTGTTTATTAATAATAATGTAAGAGACACAATATTTCACCAATTCTTCAGATTGGTCAGCTGGCAGTTAACATAATAATATGTATTCAACAATCTTTCTTGGTTGTAATTAAATGTTGAATGTCATGTTAAATGATTGGATTGTCTTAAAACTCTTCATTAGAACTATAATGGTAAAAGAGTAATACATCTTTCAAATCTGTAAAGACTACATTTATTTGTGTGTACTCACAATAACAACAAAACATTGCGCTTTTGTAAAATAATGAAAGCAAACAGGATGCGCTTTCTGCCGTCTCGGTCTCTGTGAACTTGAGTGCGAAACTCCGTGTACAGGCTATCTTTGCCTTACAGACATGAAAAATATATCTATAGAGAGTGAAATCTCTACTTTTAAATGAACCAATTTTAATAGAAAACAAATTTTCTCGGATTATGTAATCTGCATGAAACATGTATACAGGCGCATCACTACTGCAGAGATGACGAGTCATTGGCTACGTTTACATGCACAATTGTTGGTTCAATCGGACTGAATTCATTCCGATTGATGAATATGACTGTAGTGTTTACATGAACGCTAAATAAAGTGATTGGGTTGATGTCACAAGCTTCAAATTGATTTTTTTTTACATGTGCATACTGCACAAATATAGAGTTTCTCACGGTTTGCACCTAATAACCACTCTCCTACAGGGTTTCTTTATTTGTTTTTAACAGCAGAATTAATATTTATCCATTTATGGATAAATACACATATAACAGCTGTGCCGTGCTGCTCATATTTATCACGCAGTAAACATGCCCCTCCCCAAAAACGGGTTGCCTGTGGATGAGAATCCAAAACAAGGACTGGTGGGAGGTTGTCCTGCTCCACTTCACTGTTGCCGAGTGAAAGGAGAGTTTTATAATGACAGGACATGCATTTATACAACACTTTATTCAAAAGGAAGAGGCGTTCGTTCCGCGCGTCATATGTCATTACGCTATTTCTGCATCATTGCACATGGGCAGTCCTTTCAGTTTCGGAGTTCAATCCGATCGAGTGTTTACATGCGCTCTCAAAAGGAATAAACCACCCCCTTCAATCCGATCGAAACATTCCGATCGAGCTCAATTGGATCGATTAAGGCTTTTCAGTCCGATTGAGCTGTCAATCCGATTACAAACTGATTATTTGGTTGCATGTAAACATCTCAGGTTACTTATGTAACCATGGTTCCCTGAGTAGGGAACGAGACACTGCGTCCTCTAGGGGTCGCTATGGGGAACGCCTCGTCGTGATCCGTGTCTGAAGCATACACTGAAAAAACGGGTTGCCTGTGGATGAGAATCCAAAACCAGGACTGGTGGGAGGTTGTCCTGCTCCACTTCACAGTTTCCGAGTGAAAGGAGAGTTTTATAATGACAGGACATGCATTTATACAACACTTTATTCAAAAGGAAGAGGCGTTCGTTCCGCGCGTCATATGTCATTACGCTATTTCTGCATCATTGCACATGGGCAGTCCTTTCAGTTTCGGAGTTCAATCCGATCGAGTGTTTACATGCGCTCTCAAAAGGAATAAACCACCCCCTTCAATCCGATCGAAACATTCCGATCGAGCTCAATTGGATCGATTAAGGCTTTTCAGTCCGATTGAGCTGTCAATCCGATTACAAACTGATTATTTGGTTGCATGTAAACATCTCAGGTTACTTATGTAACCATGGTTCCCTGATTCTGAATCCAGCAAAGGTGTGCTCACAGAGGACCTACCTTAGAGAGGACAGAAACACACAGGTCCCGGAAAAACACTGCAAAGAAATCTCACAGAAGGATTATACACACATAACCACCAGCACATTAAATACATATATATACAGTATATACACGTATATATATATATAGAATGGATCATACTCACCCACCATTGTTCCCGCGCCGGAACCTCGTTCCAGAGGCGATTGTTGTTCGGGCTCAGACCTGGACCTTCGTGAAGGCCGCTGAGCGCGACTTTGCCTCCCTGAACTTCTCGACCACCGCCTAAAAGCAGGTACCAAAAAATACGTAAGGCGAAACCGGCGCTTCGAGAAGAAAGCCCCTCTCTTTTTCCCGATATCTGCTAGG